CTGCCCTTTGAGCTGAGCTGTTGGGAGGAGGCTGGAGCTGGAAGAGCAACTGTAAGTGTGCGTCTAACTTTTGAGGGGGTCTTCGGCCCTTCTTGGGAAGGGTGGAAGGAGGGGGAGGCGGCGATGGGAGGGCTTCCGAGCTCCCTTCGCCGCGGGGAGGGAAGAGCCGCCCGCCTCACCTAATCGGAGGTGACATGGGTAGCTGTGCCCCCCTTCGGGGCTCGGGGCGGGGGGACGCGGCCGGGCCGGGGGCTCGTTCCGAACGGACACCGCGGTGCGCGGCGTCACTGAGTCAAAGGTGTTCGGAGCAAAGTATCAGCGTCGCTGCGGCTGACCGACGGGTGCTGCCAAACAGGGGAATCGATGGGCATAGCGCATCGCGCTGTCACACCGGTGCCCGTCGGAGCGAGCACGCGGAGGGGTTCTCAGCGTTGCCAATGCGGTTCCATCCTCATAGGGAGCAGGGAACCCCGCTGCGGTGCCCCGTGGGGGTGGTAGTGGCGGCGGTGTCGCGGCTGATGGCGTCGAGGCTGGGGAGGTGCGAGTGGGGCTGTGCCCTCCCTGCCCGTCGCCCCATATAGGGTGAGTGAAGACGACCCGGGTTTTTTCTCTCATGGTTTCCCGGTGGCTTTCGGGGTCGATCAACAGGCAGCGGAGCGGGGCTGCGCACCTATCGATCAGGGCGGGGACGGCTTTTGGCTACATCTCTTTCCAGAAACAGGTGTTAAAACATGATAGCGGCTCCAGTCAATTAACCCATTAAAAACCCGTTTTATCGCATTGATTCCCGCGGACTGCCATCAAAGGTTGCGCTTTGAAAGACTCTTTGTTAAGGGGTGCGCGGGTGGGTGCGTGTGCGTGCGGAGGGTCGGACGGGGGGGGGAGTACGAACTGTCCACAGACCGCAGTGCCGTCCGTCCTGTTCTCTCCCACCGAGCCTCGAGGAAGGGCAGCGCTGGGGCCGGGTGGGGATCCCTTCTAAACGGCTTTGCAGACGCGGGAGCTGCGATGGGATCTACTCTGTGTGCCCTAAGCGGGACGCTGTGGGAATAGGCTGTGCCCTGCGCACATAGCCAGCAGAGCTGTGACAGCGCTGTGAGATGTCCCTTGGCTGCAGTTATAGGCGGTGGTGTTACTGTCACACCTCGCAGTGACCGCGTACAGGTGACGAGAGGCAGCAGCTGGTGAGTTCGTGAAATACCCCGCTGTGAACATCACCTTCCCTGAACCCCACGGCCCGACCCGGCCCAGCAGCTCAGTGCTGCCAATGGGAAGGGAATGGGCTTTCCCCCCTTGCCCGCCCGGGGTTCGTTTCACGCTTCCCATGGCCACAGCGCTGCGCTGGATGGAGCAAGAGGATCACTTATGTCCTCCGGGCACTCTCGGCTTCCAGAGGAGCAGCTCGGTGTTATTGAGATGTTCCCAGTTCTCCCCGTTTGCTGTTTTCTGGAGTCAGTACTGGATGCGACCGAAAAGGTCGGAAACGGTGTCAAGGTGATGTTTTAATCTCATTGCGAAGTGTATTAAAGGAGGAGAAGATGTAATTTCTGGGGGACGTTCCGATGAAAGGCGAGATTGGAGTGGATGATGCTTCTCTCTCCTGCCAGCCTCATGTCACATTTCCGAGGCAGCCCGTGTAGCTCACCTCATTTACAATAACAGGATGGCCTGAAAAGAAAAAAAAAAAAAGAAAGAAAAGAAAAGGAAAGAAAAAAAAAAGGAAAAGAAAAAAAAAAGATATATTATTTCATTTCATTCATTCCTTTTTTTTTTTACCCCAAATTCATCTCGACGTGCCCCAGAAGGCGCTTTAAGACGGGAGGACGCGAGCCAAAACTGTCCTCTTTATGACTCTCCGAAGGCACTGCTCCGGGCTGCCGAGATCCGCGCTGCGGGGCTGAGTGGCACTGAGCGGCACTATGCACTGCCACAGGGAGACCCCCATAGCATCCCAGGGCTCTCCGTTCTTTTTGGTTTTCCCTTAGAAGCTTAGAAACCGTTTGGAAACTCTGTTTTCAAAGCATTTTCTTTCTGCTGTCAAGTAGCCAAATATTTTCTTATTGTTATAACTATCATATAATATAATATACGATAACATATGGTATATGATTATCTTATATTCTATTATACATATAATTATTATATATCGTAATATTATTCGGGGCTCAGCCACCCGCACCCAGCCCCGCTCTGGCTTCCCCCCAGAAACAGTCCTAGGCCCTGTAGAAGCCAGTGCCACCCTCTGCCCAGCGCACACCCCCTTGTGTGTGCCTTAATGCAAAAAAAAAAAACAACAAAAAAAAAACCCACAACACTAAAATAAACTCGAGCAGACTTCAAAATTACAACTCCTGCGCAGCGCACAAAGGTGTATTCAGGCTGTTAATTACAGGGGTTGTGTCACTGGGATGTTATCAATGACCCGTCTCATTTTGCTGTAATTACTGACAAAATAAGACGAGGTTGGATCACAATACGGAATATTTCGCTTTCAGGAGGATATTGTGCTGGAAGTGGAGCTAACGCGGAGCGCAAACAAACATTTGACAAAATGCTCCCGCTGCAAAACTTCGCTCGGCGCCGGCCCCTCTTTCTCCAATCTCGCATCGGGCCGAGGATACGGGACGGCTCCGAGGTGTGTGGGGGGAAGCAGAGGGCCCATATCCCTGCAGGGGGCACCCCCCGGGCACGGCTCGGAACCTCCGCGGAGCGCAGCGCGCATCCGACGTGCGGAGATCATTCGAGTTCATTTAGGCGCAACGAAAATAGGCGGCCCCGTTTTTTCCGGATATGGAAAAATAAAATAGAGAGGAAGCATTGAAAGCAAAAAACATGGGACAGGCTTTAGAAACTGTTCAGAAAAGGACGATGTATCATCAGTACCGAAGAGGGGATTTAAAGACGAATTCCTTCAGGGGAAAAAAAAAAAAAAAAAAAAAAGAAAAAGAAAAAAGTAGTCGTGATATCGGGCACTCTTATTAAATAAATATGAGAGCCCTCCAAACCACTTCATTTTGCCAGGACTAAGCTGCCCTGGCTGCTCCGTTCCTCACCATCTCTGCCCCATGTGCGGAGAACGCTGTCGCTGCGGGTATCGTTGCAGAATCGGCCCGGCTCGGGCCCAGCCCCATCCCCGCGTCCCCTCTGCCACCCCCGGGATGGCACAGACCCGGACCCGGTTGCCCCTTCCCCTCTTGTTACCGCGGCCAGAGGGAAGATGCACGTAAAGGGGCCTCGGGGGTCGTAGTCAGGTCGCGCTGCAGTCGCGATAAGCGCGTTGGCAGTTCGGACCTTACCGGTATCGCGCTTCCCGTTGGCTGCCGCAGCTCTGCGGGGCGCGGCGGGGGGACAGCGCCCGTCGAGGGGCTTCGCCCCTTCTGCCCCCCGCGTTCCCGTTCCCTTTCCCTTCCATTCACAACGCGGTGGGGACGGACGCGGATTGAATATTGACGTCTCTTCCCCCGACTGCTCCTCCGTTAACCCAATTACAGAATTCATCAAGAACTGCGTTGAATTATCTCTTTCCATACAGTATCAGCATTAGCCTAATTAAAAGCTATAATGTCTGATATAATGATTAAATCGTTAGCTCTGCTGTAGGGAAGCAATATTTTGTTTTCCCTTCAATTAGAAGCTGATTGAGGTTTTCAGAGCAGGTCAGCTGTGAAATTTGAATTATATATGTGAGTACCGTGCACAGGGTGAGCCCCTACTCGAAAGCTCCAGAGCTTCTCCAAATGCTTTCACCCGGCGAGCAGCACAGATACAACAAACCCGCCGGGGCCGGGGACGGCAGGGCGGCCCTGCTCTCGGGCTGCGGCGGAGGGCGAAGGACGCGCAGTGGCCGCCAGCAGACGGCGATCGCCATCCGCTCCAGGCCGCCCTGCGCGGCCCCACCACCCCCTGTGTGTTGCTCGACCCCTCGACAGGGCGTCCCCCCCGCCATCCGTAGCCGCCGTGGGATGATATCTTCAGTCTCTAATTTAATATATTTATAACGGCGACCTCGCCTCTTTAGCTCCCATAGGACCGAGTGCCCAACAGCCGCCTCCCGCTCCTGCGGGACTCTGGCCGTCGGGGAAAGCTCCACCAAACCGCTGGCCGGCCGTATGGACGCGGGGAGCCCCCTCTAGTCGGGGTTCGTACCCCGGGATGGCCGCGGGGCAGCCCCGGGCACAGCGGGACACCCCGGGTCCGGGCGCGCCGTCGGAGGGGCGTGGCCACGCCTCGCCCCCGCCTCCCGCCACCTTTCCCCGCCGGCGCGGTTCTGCTCAGCGCGCCCCGTCGGACGTCAGCGGTCGGCGCGCGCGCTATGCAAATCGCCGCACGGCGGCGCGCCCCATTGGCCGGCGGCGGGCGGGGGCGGGCGGGCTTGGCGCGCTGGCTGGATGAAGCGCTCCTCCCCGCCGGGCGGCGGCAGCGGGGCGGGCGGCAGCGCAGCGAATTGCGTTGCCCGGTGCGGCCGGGCTGGCTCCCCACCCCCACTCCGCCTCCATGCCTCCTCCTCCTCCCGCTTTTTTTTTTTTTTTTTTTTTTTTTTTGAGTTAACGTTTAAATAGTTTTTTTTTTTTTTTTCCTCTTTTTTTTTTTCCCTCTTTTTTTTTTTTTTTTTTTTTTTTTTTTTTTTTTTTTTTTTTGGCGTGGCGGTGGGTTTTCCTCTCCTTTCTGCTCCGTTCACCTGCGATCAGTGGATGCAAGTCACACACGCTCCCTCCCTCCTCTCTCTGGAAGTTAGCAAAGAAGAAGAACAAAAAAAAAAAAAAAAAAAAATAGATCTGTTAAGAGCAGGAGCGGGAGAGAGAGAGAGAGAGGAGGGGCGCGCCGAGTGCCGCAGAGCGCGGCAGGACGGGCACACGCCGGGCGCAGCACCGCGAAGCACCGCGCAGCCCCGCGCAGCCCCGCACCTGTTTGCGCGCCCCGCGCCCGGAGCGGCCCCCGGCAGCGGGAGGACGCCGGCAGCGCCGCCGCCGCCGCTCCTCGCATGTGCGGTGCCTCCCCGCCGCCCGGCGCCGGAGGGAAGTGAGGAAGCCCCGTGAATGTACAGCATGATGATGGAGACGGACTTGCACTCGCCCGGCGGAGCCCCGGCGCCCGGCGGCGGCCTCTCGGGGCAGAGCGGCGCGGGCGGCGGCGGCGGCGGCGGCGGCGGCGGGGGCAAAGCGGGGCAGGACCGCGTGAAGCGCCCCATGAACGCCTTCATGGTGTGGTCGCGGGGGCAGCGGCGGAAGATGGCCCAGGAGAACCCCAAGATGCACAACTCGGAGATCAGCAAGCGGCTGGGCGCCGAGTGGAAGGTGATGTCGGAGGCCGAGAAGCGGCCTTTCATCGACGAGGCGAAGCGGCTGCGGGCGCTGCACATGAAGGAGCACCCGGATTATAAATACCGGCCTCGGCGGAAGACCAAGACGCTGCTCAAGAAGGACAAGTACTCGCTGGCCGGAGGGCTGCTGGGCGCCGGCCCGGCCGCGGGTGGCCCTCCCGCCGTCGGCGTGGGCATGGGCGTCGGCGTGAGCCCCGGCGGCGTCGGGCAGCGGCTGGAGAGCCCCGGCGGGGCGGCGGGCGGCGGCTACGCGCACATGAACGGGTGGGCCAACGGCGCCTACCCGGGCTCCGTGGCGGCGGCGGCGGCGGCGGCGGCGATGATGCAGGAGGCGCAGCTCGCCTACGGGCAGCACCCGGGCGGCGGGGGGCATCCGCACCACCCGCACCCGCACCATCCACACCATCCGCACAACCCGCAGCCCATGCACCGCTACGACATGGGCGCGCTGCAGTACAGCCCCATCTCCAACTCGCAGGGCTACGTGAGCGCCTCGCCCTCGGGCTACGGCGCGCTGCCCTACGGCTCGCAGCCCCACCAGAACTCGGCGGCCGCGGCGGCGGCGGCGGCGGCGGCGGCGGCCGCCTCGTCGGGCGCGCTGGGAGCGCTGGGCTCGCTCGTCAAGTCGGAGCCCAGCGTGAGCCCGCCCGTCACCTCGCACTCGCGGGCCCCGTGCCCCGGGGACCTGCGGGAGATGATCAGTATGTACTTACCGGGCGGCGAGGGAGGCGACCCGGCGGCCGCCGCCGCCCAGAGCCGCCTGCACTCCCTGCCCCAGCACTACCAGAGCGCCAGTACGGGGGTCAACGGCACCGTCCCCTTGACGCACATCTGAGTGGCCCCGGAGCAGCCCCGGAGCGGCGCGGAGGGCCCCGGCCCGGGCCCCGCAGGACTGCGGCCCCGCCGCCGCCCCGCGCCCTCAGCCCCCCTTCGTTTTTGCCTTTCATTCCGCTCCTTCCCGCCCTCCCCCTCCCTCCTTCCTTTTTTTGTTTTGTTTTGTTTTTCTTTTATTTCTTTTTGTACAGAAATGTTTTGATGTTCTTGTAATAATAATAAATAATAATAATAATAATAACGAGAGAGAAAAAAAGGTAACGGTGGCTTTACTGACCTTTTTGTTTTTAGGAGGACCAGATCCCGGCACTAGTTTTAGACTGAACTTCTGTGTTTTATTGAGACTTTTTGTACAGTATTTATCATTCACCCCAGAGACACAGAGCGTTTATTTGCAAAAGAGGAGAGAGAGAGAGAGAGAGAGAGAGAGAGAGAAAGAGAGAGAGAGAGGATTAAAACAAAAACAAAAAAGACGGCGACGAAAAGACAAAACCATCGCCGCTGACACCCAAAGTTCGGGCGGTGCCAACTTTCGGGCTGCGCTTCGTCCCGCACCGCCTCACTGCAAACGGAGCCGACGGGGAGCGGTGCTCGTTCCTTCCTCGCACACCCAAAAAACAGCGCCACAAGTTTTCGTAGATTTTCTCGCGCTTTTCGTTTTGGTTGGGTTGTTTTGGTTGCTTTATTTATACAACTTTATTTTTTTTTTCTTATTATTATTGCTTTCTTCCAGAGGCTACAACGTTTGTTTGATTTCTTTTATTATTTTTTTCCCCTGGGTTTTGTAAAACTTAACTGTATCTGCACCATTTCTGTTTGTTTTCCATCCTCCCCCATCCCCCCCCCCCCCTTTTTTTTTTTTTTTACAATTTTTTTTTGTATCATCTCGTGTAAATGCATTGTGAAATAATTTTTATCTAGGCGTGACGAGGGAACCCAGACTGTACATAGTTTACTAAAAAGCCTTTCTGCTAAACAGAAACCCGAAGGATGCGTTCCATTTTGAGTTAAATAAATTGCAAAGCGGAAAAAGTCACCTGTTCTATTTTTTTAAGGAATAAAATAATAATAATAATAATAAATCAATGTTTCCCACGGTGTGGCTGAAAAATACGGCCGGGAAAGATGGAAAGAGGGAAGCGAGACGGAAAGTGGAGCTGCGAACTGAGCGGAGCAGAGCCCCGCGGAGATGCCGACGCTCCCAGAGCACAGAACGCGTTTCCAGGGCTCTGCTCCTCCCGTCCGCCCGGAGCCCGGCGCAGAGCTCCGCCGGGGTCGCGGTGCTGAGAGCGCTGAGGAACGGAGCGCACGGAGCATCCCTCGGCGGAATGCGGCCCCGGGTGCTGGAGCGGCTCTTTGGAACGCGTTTGTCGGAGTTCGCTGACTGCTGCCCGAGCTGTCGGGCTGTGCCGGGCGGTGTGGTGAGCTTTTAAGTTTGTGTAAACTTCGTCTGGTGGCATTTGACGGCGCTGAGCCCTGCGTTTGATGTCATTGCGTGGGGGAATAAATGTGTGAAATGAATTGTGGCGTGCCTAAGGGAAAGGAGATACGGTGTTTCTGAGACGCGGGGCGGATGCGCGGCAGCACCGGGCTGATGGCGTGTCCTAATAAGGGCGGATGAGTGCTTCATTCATCCGGGAGCGGGAGACGTTCGCTGGTTGATGAGAACCGTTTCGGTCCGTGTTGTGTCTGACTGCGCTGCCTCCGTGACAACTGCACGTGGAAATCCTCGGAGTCGCTTCGATAATTTTGTTAAACGCCAAATTTCCATAGCCGTCCATTGATTTCCAGCTAAGCAGTAAGACTCCCTCCCCATCCCCGCCACCCTTCCCCTTCCCCTTGTATTCCTTTTCCTTTAACTCCGAGCCTTTATCACTGCAGATGTGAAGGGACACCGCAGGAACCCCCGCAGGAACCCGCAGCCACGCGTGACCCCGCGCCGTGTCACTACGTACCCTTCGGCCACGCACCTGTTGCGCCATTCGCCGAAGCGCATTGCGCGCAGTGCGGGACTTCATGCGCGGGGGGTGCGTGCACGCAGCGCGGGGCCGAGCTCCAGGGCTCTGTGCTGCTGCAATTAGCGCTGCCCGACAGAGAGGGAGAAAGAGAAAGGCTGCGCAGCCGAGTGCGGGTGGTGGAAGAGCTGGGGCGGTCGAGGGGGAGAAGAAAACGAGCGTTTGCGCGTTTCCAAGCTACAAAAGTGCCGAGGAAAGGGCTTGACGGAAGAACTTAGCACAAAACTTTACACGAACTCATTTTAAAGCGCCTTTCTTCCTCTTCCCGTAATTTAGAGCTCTGCTTCGCCTCGTGGCGTACCATCACCGCTGTCCCAATGTCGGTTGAATCCGAAGAAACTTTGCATGCGCTCAGTGAGCATTGCAAAGCAGTGCCGCCCTTTCTGCTAATATCAAAAACAAAGAACTGCCTAAAACGTTAGAATCTATGCTTTGACCGCTTGGTTTAATCGGAGTTAAACTTCCGGCTTGGGCGTCCGAACTAAGTTGGAACACCTTGGCCATGCAGAGGAGGCAGCTTTCGGTACGGTGAAACAGAGCAGCCTCCGGGCTTCTTTTGCAAGGGTTGTATGGAAGGGAGTAATTGAATATGCAAAACTAAGAATAGGCCTGAACGATGTCTGGTTGAAGTACATTAGGTCTAAAATTGTATGAAATGTTCCCCCTATCATGATTGACAGAGCTATTAACATCACCTATATGGAAGAATTAAAAAAAAAAAAAAAAAATCATCTCGTGTTCAGTACAATGCAGATCGGGCGCTGAGGTGAAGGGCCGAGGGCTGCCCGGAGCCTGGGCTCGGGGTCAGAACCCTGCGGCCTCCGCGCTCCGCCCCCGGCTCTGCGGGGCCTCTCCCCGAGGGGGGCGGGAGCGGAGAGGCCGGGGGGCACCGCTTGGTAACGGCTCCGAACTTGGAGCCAAAGCGCAAACTTGGCCTCAACTCCGCTGTTCCATCTCCAACGATTCTTTCTCCTTTTTTTTTTTTCCCCTTTCTTTCTTTTTTTCTTTTTCTTTTTTTCTTTTTTCTTTTTTTTTTCCCTCTTCTTTCTCTACTTCCCTCCTGTTTCCCTGGGACGGCTCCTCTGTGCCCACAGCCCCGCAGCCCCGCACCTCTCTGAGCTCCGCAATGCCCTGCGGCCCGGCTCCTCCCTCCCTCCCAGCTGCGCCAGCTGCGGGCAGCGTCGGGCCGCGGGCACGGGGGAAGGGGGCTGGGGGGGGGAGGGCCCGATGGGGCTGTAGCTTTCTGCATCCTGAGCAAACTGCCACAGGAATAAAGAAATAGGAGAAAAAGAGAGAAAAAAAGAAAGAAGAAAAAAATGGCGAAAACCAAACCAAAACTACACAAACCACAGCTCAGGACCCCCAATGCTCTCCCGAGCCCTTTCCTAGAGGATGTCCGAGCACCCCTGTGTCCTTTCTGCACCCTCCCTCCCTTGCCTCGTTGCGTGTGGGAGAGCTCCGTGGGGGAGGAAGGCATCCGAGGGTGTGTGCCGTGTGTATGAGGGGGCTCTGTGCACTGCTTAGGGGTGTTCGTGTGCCGCCGGGCCTCCACCGCCGTAAGGGGAGAGGGATCCACTTGGAGTACCGTCTGAGGGGCCGTAGATGCGCGGTGCGAGAGGAAGATAGGGAAGAAAAGAAAGAGAGGGAAGAGGGGGGTGGGATGAGAGGGAGCAGAGAGCAGGGGAGGAGGAGGGCCGCTGTTTGGAGAGCGGGGGATTAGCGAGGAGAGCCCTGACCCTGAGATCAGCGGCCAGTCAAACCCGGTTACAATCACCCGGCGGAACCTCGACGGCTCCCGCCGAAAGCCAGCCACCGGCCGAGCTGGAACGAGAGCGGAGCCCCCGGGGGGCAAAGGGAGACGCCAAGGCCCGGGGGGAGTTGGGGGGTCCCAGCGGGAGCAGGTCGCGGTGCTGAGGGACTCAATAGCGGAACGCTCCGGCACTTGGACCCTCACAGGGCGGAGGGGCAGGGAGAGAGGCTCCTGAGGGTTGTGAGGACGGAAGGGCCGGCAATGCCGGGGGGAGGGGGGAGACGGAGGGGGCAACGGGGACCTACGGAAAACAAGCGCGCTGCTGGCAGCCGGGAAAGGCCTCTCCGAGCCTCCCGCGGGACCCTCCTCCGTGGGGCTCCCGGCGACGCCAGAGCCTGGCTCCAGCCATGCGCGCCGCCCGCCCGCCCGGACCGGAGGCCATCTGCCGCGGCACGGCCCGCCGCAGGCTGGGGATGGCCCCCCCGACGTGCGCGGAGCGGGTGGGCGCCTCCGTTCTGTTCCGCGCCCCGCGGGGCACCGGCGCCGCTGCGCAGCGCAAAGCCCACAGCAAGCGTACATAGCGGACGGGGGAGGAACTTCACAAAGTTTCTTTCTTTCTTTTTTTTGTTTTTTTGGTTTTTTTTTTGGTGGGGGGGGGGGAGGGAGGAAGCAGCCCTTCCACCTGGGGGCTTTTTTGTACTTCTGGCAGAAAACATGCTCTCCAAAAGTGATGATGCTCCTTAGTTGTGAGTGACACCTACTCCAGGAAACACACCTCAAGTCAGGGTAAGAAACGAGAGGATATGGAGCAGGAGGGGGCTGGCTCAGCCCAGCCATTCCGTACAGACCCAGTGAGGCCCAGTTCTCACCCCACTGTGCCTCCACTGAGCTGTAGCACTGGAATTAGCTCTCCAGGGAGGTGGTTGAGTCACCGTACCTGGATGTGTTTAAAAACCGTTTGGATGTGATACACAGGGACATGATTTAGTGGAGGGCTGCTAGAGTTAGGGTAGTATGGTTAGATCATAATTGGACTTGATGATCTTTAAGGTCTTTACCAACCTGAGGGGCAAATGTAGCTGGGTGGGTGGGTGCTATTGGTGGGAATGGAAGGAAAGGTGAATGATACATGGAATGGGGCAAAAAGCTGCTGGAGGAAACACTACAAAAGTGAAGATGGGCAGTGCAAGTTTGGAGCTCTTGAAGAACCCTCCTGTAGAGGCGGTGCAAGTGTGTCTGTGCAGTTCTGTAGCTGCATGGTCAAGGTGCTACGGGGTGCTTGCAGGAATCTAGAGGTTCTTTGCAGCTTTCATGCCTAAAACTGGGGCAACTTCCGTGCTGCACATGTATGATGTGCCAGAAGTCTGT